TGTTATAGCGGCGACTGTAACGTTTCTGATTAAAATCGCTTGGCTAGGTTTGGGGAAAGTATCATGCTTTGGGTAAAAATACAACATGTTAACAACATGTATGGAGCCCTGCCCCATCTGATGTGATTACTGGTAGAAAAGGACTGACGGTACAATGATAGAATAAATACTAAGGATTAGCTGATTATTGATGTTTTTAAAAAAAAAAAAAAATCAGGAACAAAATCCAGGAGAGAACATGTTGAAAAGCTAACTGAGAATGCAGTTTGGTCGTATGTTCCATTTTTGTGCGAGAAAGCTCTGCTGTAAACTTACTTACTCTCTAATTTACAGTTTGGATTCAGCAGCAATAAACATGTCAGTTGCCTCTAATTAATAGAACCCACGGTTGTTCATTTTAGCGTTACAGTTGAGTTCCTGATTGATTTTTTTTTTAAGGGAGGAAAAAAACATCGCCTGAGGCTTCGGGGCTAATGTAAATAGAAATGTAGAGGAGATCAAGTAAAACAAAACCACCACACAATTATATTTCAGTGGTGTAAATGTGCTGAACTACACTCCTTGCTGCTGGTATGATAAGTGTCACATGTTTAGCTCATGGAAACGACTTAACAAATGCTAATACTCATAATTTCCTGCACATTTATAGATTGCAGCTTGTTGTCGGTTTCTGCTTGACCTTTGCTCTCCGCGGTGAAACGTCTCCGGGGTGGATTTCTTGCCTTCGCTTGGCTTTTGGAGGGAATTCAGCAGCCTGAAGATTTATACTTTCCAAACAGATGCGACTCCCAGCGAGGATAAACACACACTGGGGGGCGAATGAGCACCGAGTGTGAGTTTTCCAGGAGGGGAAACATGTTGTGGTTCTTCCCTCCCCGTCCGTCAGCTCTCCTCTATCGCCCGTTGCGATTTTACTGATTTACTTTCCCTTTTCTCTCTTTTTTTCCTCTTTTCCCTCAGCTCTCTACCTGCCTTTGTTTGCTCTCCTACCTTTGCTCTTCTCACCATCATCCCCTCCTCCTCCTCCTCCTCCTCCTCCTCCTCTCTCTTTCTATGGATAATTCATCAGTGTTTCTCAGAGCTGCTGTCTGCCTGCCTGCCTACTGTGATTTCCACTGGGACTCTTTCAGGGACCATTCCCACCTCAACCGGGAATTAGAGCCACGGCTACAGAGGGAAATTAATCACAGCCACCTTATACTAACCCGTATATACACAAACGCCGCACACATGAACACTCTTTGCTCTTTTCTCTCACTTTTTTTGTTTCAACTCTCCATCACTTTATACCTTCACACACGTACCTGGATATTCATGCACACTTTCTCACATTCTTTTTTTTTTTTTTTTTATACACTCTTGATCTCAACAGCCGACACTCACACACTTCATCATCAACCCCTCTTTGATCAGTTGTGTCCCTCCCGGCTCAGCTGGACTGTAGCAGCGATCATGAAAGCTGTTTTCACGGCTTTCGAATAACCGGCTGCAACAAATGAACGAGTAGACAAAACACACATTTAAATAGCAAAAGTATGCATGGCGTCACTCCAGCGTAAATCATTAGGTCTCTGCTCAACCATCTCTGATTTGCCTGAAATCCTTCTAGCATAAAATACAAACACTTATAGAGATAATTGTGAAATTTTAGCTTGATATATGAAATACCTTCTGAGATAAAACTGTTTGCAAAAAATAACTTTTGGCACATTGAAATTTGAGGCTAGTGTTAAACAACAGTGTCTCAGGAACTGTTAAAGATAAAAGACTGAAATGTTTTTGTCTCATCATATCACTGATTCACAATCTGCAATATCAGACAACTACATCAAATGATCTCCAGTTATCGGTGAGTTGAAATTTTAAACAAAAAACAGTTGTAACGAAAAGTCCTACAAACTAAGTTGGCAGTTCATTCTCGAAAGGTTGACATACACTATAATGCCAAAAGTATTCACTCACTCACCCAAATTATCGGAATCAGGTGTTCCAATCACTTCAATGGCCATATGTGTATAAAATTAATCACCTAGGCATGCCGACTATTTCTACAAACATTTGTGGAAGAATGGGTCGCTCTCAGGAGCTCAGTGAACTCCAGCATGGTGCTGTGATAGGATGCCACCTGTGCAACAAGTCCAGTCGTGAAATTTCCTCGCACCTAAATATTCCACAATCAACTGTCAGCTGTATTATAAGAAAATGGAAGTGTTTGGGAACGACAGCAACTCAGCCATGAAGTGGTAGGCCATGTAAACTGATGGTCGGCGGATGCTGAAGCGTGTAGTGCGAAGAGGTCGCCAACTTTCTGCAGAGTCAATCACTACAGACCTCCAAACTTCATGTGGCCTTCAGATTAGCTCAAGAACAGAGAGCTTCATGGAATGGGTTTCCATGCTAGAGCAGCTGCATCCAAGCCATACATCACCAAGTGCAATGCAAAGCGTCGGATGCAGTGTTGGAAAGCATGTCACCACTGGACTCTAGAGCAGTAGAGGCGTGTTCTCTGGAGTGATGAATCACGCTTCTCCATCTGGCAATCTGATGGACGAGTCTGGCTTTTGGCGGTTGCCAGGAGAACGGTACTTGTCTGACTACATTGTGCAAAGTGTAGAGTTTGGTGGAGGGGGGTTATGGTGTGGGGTTGTTTTTCAGGAGCTGGACTTGGCCCCTTAGGTCCAGTGAAAGGAACCCAGAATACCAAGAGATTTTGGACAATTCCATGCTCCCAACTTTGTGGGAACAGTTTGGAGATGGCCTCTTCCTCTTCTAGCATGAAGGTGCACCAGTGCACAAAGCAAGGTCCATAAAGACATGGATGGCAGAGTCTGGTGTGGATGAACTTGGCTGGCCTGCACAGAATCCTGACCTCAACCCAATAGAACACGTTTGGGATGAATTAGAGCGGAGACTGAGAGCCAGGCCTTCTTGTCCAACATCAGTGTGACCTCACAAATGCGCTTCTGGAAGAATGGTCAAAATTCCCCATAAACACACTCCTAGACCGTGTGGACACCCGTCCCAGAAGAGTTGAAGCTGTTCTAGCTGCAAAGGGTGGACCAACGTCATATTAAACCCTATGGATTAGGAATGGGATGTCACTTAAGCTCATATGTGAGTCAAGGCAGGTGAGCGAATACTTTTGGCAACATAGTGTATCAATCTAAAATTGCACAAATGCCACTTTAAATAATAGCAGCTTATGATGAAAAAGTTTCCAGCAAATGGGAGGTGATCGAGCTAAAGGTTCCTGATGATTTGAGGTGGAATAACTCCTTGGAGAACCATTTTAAAACTTGGATCATCTGGCAATATTTTGTTATTGTGGTACAACTTCTCGTACTTGCTCAATCAGCTATTAGCAAAGATACCTTTTTTATTTATTTTTGTAAGCAAGTATTTCATATCATAAAGTATTCTTTATGTTTTGTTTTGTAATATTGTGACATGCAGCTACAGTTTGTTCAGAAAATATATAGATTTTTCTTTTCATATTTCAACTCACCCATAATCAGAGGTTATTTGATCTACTTGTCCAATATTGCAGATTCTGAATCAGTTTCATTATAAGTAGAGTGAAAATTTGATCTTTAAGGGTTCCTGAGATATTGTCGTTCAAGCAGCCTCAAATTTCAACGTGCAAAAAACATGCAGTCGTTTGTTAACTATAGAAAAATCCTTAGAAAGTACTTGATCTATCAATACGAAATTGCACAGATAACATTTGTAATAATCATAGTTTATGATAAAAAAAAAAAAAAGTTTGGTAGTCGAGCAGGAGGCCTCGAGATGGAATAATTTGATGGCGAGATGAAGGAAAGCGACGGATATAATAGCTGGACTCAGACAGAACAGAGAGGGCTGCAGAGGGGGAAGGGAGGCTTTCAGATTTCCACCATTACGGCTGGATAGAGCACAGAAACAGTACAGTGTGCGAGCGCAGAGGCAGAAAGCAGAGTATTGATCAGGGATCGAGTGGCTCCCAGTGTGAGCGCCAGAGGAGGGACTGAATGTCACACAAGCGTTCTCCATGTGGGTGTATGTGTGTTCATCCAGGAGGAGGAGGAGGAGGAGGAGGAAGAGGTACTGTTACACCTCACAGCAGCTACCGTCCACAGCTGTAGGTGACTCTGCTGAGCTGTTAGAAATGTATCAGACAACTGCTGTTCTCGTGTGGCAGTTAAAGCAGTTTCCTACAGTGATGAGACTATACTGTACCTCCACTGCTTTTTTTTTTTGCCACTAAATTTACAGCTCAAAAGTATCAGCAGCATCCAAGACAAGCGTAGAGCAGGTAGGTCGAACACCAAATACAAAAAAAGTGCATTCACACAAGCAGATGAACACACAAATTAGTGTACGTCAGAAAGTTCTCAATCTCACTTGGAAACAAGGTGTGAAACTCCCATTTTGGGGCAGAATTTTACACTAGAAAGCCTTTTACTACTGACCACAAGGACTCAAATATGCCCGTCCACACAGCACAGGTGGCAGAAGCAGCTAAATGTGGCTTTGAACTGTTGCTCCATGCATCTGACTCAGCAGACCTGCCACGTCTTTGATTTGTTTTCCAAACTGAAATCCCATTTGCGACATATTTCAGAGTGATGATGAGGTCATGCATGGATGCTGTGAAGGTGTATCTGGAGGCTTAAGATGTGACTTTTCTTCCGCAAAGGGATCGTGAACATCACTGGGCTTATTTAGTTAATTTAAAAGAGACTACAAAAGGTGTCAGAAAACATGCCTGTGAAGATTCTCAGTCATCCAGTTCGTGGTTATTCTCGTAGTTTAATTATAGCAACTGGACTTGCTTGAGTTTCTTGAGGACGTTTCACCTCTAATCCAAGAGGCTTCATCAGTTCTGAGTTCCAGATGCTTATATCCTTAAGGAGCCATTGCCTGTGTCAGAAAAGTTCCAGGACTGGTGTCACAAAAGATATATATCAAATCCAAACTACAAGTTTTCCCCTTCGTAATCCTGCTGGAATCTAACGCACTTTCACAGCCTTCTCTATCACGTTGCCATGCTCTCCTGGAATTCTCCGCAGCTCCGTCATCAAAGCCATCTTCATGTCGTCCACGTCTTCAAAACGGGTCCCCTTGATGACCCCCTTGAGCTTGGGGAAGAGGAAAAACCCCAAAGAGCCAGGTGGGGTGAGTAGGGAGGTTGGTCCAGCACGGCGTTGTTCTTCTCAGCCAGGAACTGTCAGATGTTCAGGGCGTTGTGAGCAGGCGCGTTGTCATGGTGAAGCAGCCACGACTTGTCCTGCCACAACTCTCAGCTCTACTCAAGCACTGAATGAAGCAAACACCACAGGATCTCTTTGTAGACGTGCTGGTTGATCATCTGAAGGGTAAAACTGGTAGTTTGGGTTTGAAGTGTATCTTTTGTGACACCAGTCCTGGAACTTTTCTGACACACCTTGTATGCTGGTACATCTTTAAGCTTTATTGTCCTTATCCACCTGGTATGGCACCGTCTGACTTTTATCTGTTTCCTATACTGAAGTCGTCATTTTTAAAGTGATGATGAGGTCATGCATGAATGCTGTTAAGGAGTATGTGGAGGCTCAAGATGTGAGTTTCTTCTTCCACAAAGGGATCGTGAAGCTTGAACATCATTGGACTTATTTAGTTAAGTTAAAGGAGACTATGTTGGAAAATAATGCAAGAACAATCTTTCTCCTGTAGCGTTTTCTGGTGCTTCTGTCTCTATGCCAGAAAAACAACCCTGAAAATGGTATCAGTCAGTATACTGGTGCATCCTTAAGCTTTGTTTTCCTTATTCACCTGACCTGGCACCATCTGACTTCTCCATTTTCAAAGTGATGATGAGGTCATGCATACTGTTACGGAGCCTCAAGATGTGCTCCTCCTCTGTAAAGGGATGCTGAAGCTTGTGGACCAAGTGCAATGAAGTTAAAGAAAACTAACAAATAATGCAAGAACAATCTTTGTCCTGTGGCGTTTTCTGGTGCTTCTCTTCCTATGTGCTAGAAAACTCTCTGCAAAGCGTAAAAGTGTTATCGGTCAGTTTACTGGTGCATCCTTAAGCTTCCTTACTCACCGGCATCGTCTGACTTCTGTTTCCCAAACTGAAATTGCCATTTGTAGAGTGAAGGTCATGCATGCTGTTAAGGAGCATCTGGAGACTCAAGATGTGACCTTCTGCCGTGAAGGGTGGTGAAGCTTTAAAATCAAGTGCACTGAAGTTAGAAGAGACTATGTTAACAAATAAGGCGAGGATAGTCTTCCTACTGTGGCGTTTTCTTTGGAGAACTTTTTAAGTTACTGTCTGACTTCTGTTTTCCAAAATGAAATCGCCGTTTTCAGATTAAAGATGAGGTCGTGCACGCTGTTGAGGTGCATCTGGAGGCTCAAGATGTGACTTTCTTCCTTGCATATATATGTTTGCACTGAGTCCTGTAATGGAAAAATACTGCATCTGCATGAAGAATGTCAAAGCAAGTTTCTCTAAGCTTCATTAAAGCTGAGTGGAAAGGTTACAGGCCCAAAAATATGTTCTCATAACATCTAGGTAAAAGATTAGTGGCCATACATGGGAAGAAGAAGTTGTGCATCCCATGTGTTTAGACTTTTTGATGTCTGATCCAATGTGTTTAGCCTTCTAATGTCTGTGGATGAGTACATCCTGTACCTCCAGCTGTTGTTTTCCGGCATGAGATTGTTATACTACCGTTGGAGTAAAGACCACGCCTGTACATGTATAAGAATACTACGCTGCCTGCACTCATGTGTACTCTCCTGCAGACTGCTTGCATTCTGTATGACCTGTACCTTCAAAGCTTTGAATAAAACAAAACAAAGACAACTTGGACTACTGGACTTTATGTAGATCATAGAAAATTTCCACAACAGTCCTGCTCCATAACTGTCTGCAAATCGCAGAGCCCAAGAACCACTAAATAGCTTGATCTGGAGCTTTTGACACCATCTTCATCAGATCTTATTATTCTAAATGCTTAAAGGACCACCACTCACCACCCGTCGCTGCTGAAAAGCCCGATGAAGCTCGGAGAGAAAGTGGACCTTGGGTTGAGAGTTGTTTTGTCGGCTGAGTTAATGCTGTTTGAGGATGTTGCAAGGACAAAGTTTAGCAGAACAACACAGCTGGCGAGAACTTGGCTCCTGTGAAAAACTAACCTTTTTATTTGCACTGCAATTAGTGTCAGTCGCTTCTGAAGAGGAGGAGCGCGAGCTAATTTTACCCGCCAGGATGCAGGAAGGTTAAGAATATGGAATAACAAAATGGTGTCAGAGTTACTTCTGGAGCACACACGGGGAGTCGAGTCAGAACTGTTGAGGACATCGGTGCTTTAATGTTTTCTGGGCAAGAATTCTGCATGCGGACGGCAAATTAGCGGCATCCCTCTTTTAAGAGCAGATAAAGGCTTGATTGGAGCACGCAGCAAGCGAGGAGGAGAATCATCCCCCTTTAGAGCGGCTTGATAGCGCTCAATTGATTAGAGTCAATTAGAGAAAAGGTCAGGGCGCAGCTGGGGCAGCAGGGCTACTGTCGCTGGGATTTACCGCAACGGAAACACCGAACACACACGTGAACTCACTTAAACGCGCACTCGAGTAGATCGAACGGAGACAGATGAGCAGAACTTACATATCCGCAACACGCTCTTTCTCAAGCTGCGAAAACCAATGTTAACAGACACACAGCGGCCTCCTGCTGCTTATCTGACTGCTGTTGTGAACATTGGATCAATCCGCCTTCGTGTGTAATGAGCCTCGAGCTCCGTTCGCTATTCTCATCCTCACCAATATGTGTGGAGGGGAAAAAAAAAAACGTCTTGAATTACATGTCGCCGCCGATTTGGTCGCTCAAGGTCGCACGCCCGCTTTTTCTTCGCCCTCCGTATAACAAAACATGTTTCTTTAAACATCCCCCGACACCGGCTCATTCTCTTCCTCACCTCTCCTGCTTCCTATTCATTAGTATAACCTTCATTCTCTTTCTGTTCTTCTTCTCTTTCCCCTTGTGTTCGCTCCTCCCTTGCATACATCTTCATAATCTTCCTCGCATCCTCTGAGAATCCTGTTTTTGTTTTTTCCTTTCTTTTTACCTCCCCTTATTTGTCACTTCCCCATTTCGGCTTAATGCACCCTCAAACTGTAGTGTTGTCTCCAAAGCAAACAACCTGAGAGGAAAAAGCTTCTGCACAGGTGACACTTTCTGATTTTATTTTTCTTTTTTTTTTGCAGCTTTCTCTTCTGTTCTCGCTGCACTTTCTGCTTTACTTGCAGCCAGAAAAGAGGAAAAACCTTCTGAAGAGTCATTGATGTGTTAACCTGAAAGCAGCCTCTTCCTCATATGCTGTTGAGTCGTCGACTTTGAAAGAAGAAATCTTAGCAGAGTTCACGAGCAGTAAAACACTCGCCTTCTCACTTAAATACGTTCATACGGCTTTTCCACCGAGGCTCTTTGAGGTGCCACATTTCGAACCAGTTCCCTCAACGGCAAAAGTTGGTATTAAGAGTTTGCTGGTCGAGAAAAAAGACGGATTTATCTTAACCAACTACAACTTTGTGACCGTTTTTAACCTCT